AGTAGTAGTAGTAGTAATAGTAGTAGTAGTAGTAATAGTAGTAGTAGTAGTAGTAGTAGTAGTGGTAGTAGTAGTAGTAGTACTAGTAGTAGTAGTAATAGTAGTAATAGTAGTAGTACTCAAAGTACTAATACTAGTAGTAGCATCATAAATAGCTGTGGTACAAAAAGATTTAGAAAGGAACAAAAAAAAGAAAAAAAAAATTCTATTTCAAATGGAGATTCTATGAATTATCAAGAAAAGAAGGAAAAAAATAAAACAGACAGTAGGAAGAAAAGAAATAGATTTAAACATGAAAAGAAATCCAAGCATAAAAAATCTTATGAGAATGATATGAAAGAAAGTAAACATAAAGAATTTAATAATCATAGAAAAAGAGAGCTTGTAAAATTTATTGGAAAAGAAACTAATGAAAATCAAAATAGAAAAAAAATAAAACGATATTAAAATATCTTTTCATATTAAAAATATATACTAATATAAATTCTGAATTGAATATAATTAATAAACATATATGAATTATTAAACATAATAAATGATATAAATCATAAAGAACAAAACGGGTAAAATATAATGTATATATACATAAAAAAATCATGTAAACAATGATAATTTTCACATGATTTTCAAAAAATTATATAAAATTACATGTAATAATATCTTATATTTATTTTTATGTTTCATATCGAGGATAACGAATTTCTCGGATTATAATAACTGTTTTCTTAGCAATTTACTCCATCAACACAATAATTAAAAAATAAAATTTTAATGATATTTGAAATCATAAAAATCTAGAAAAAGAAACGATATTGAATCTAAAAAAAAACGATATTATGATAAAATTTCAGTAGTTTTTAGTATAAAAATTAAATCAGTTACATCAAAAATTAAAAGGGAATTATAGCTACTAATTCGTTGTCCATATCTTATCTGAACAAAATTTGAGATTCATTTGAGAAAGTTCAAAATTTAATATTGAAAATTTATCCTTGTATTTTAAATATTTCATATATCATATTATAATTATAAAATTTCAAAAAATTTTCTAAGATTTAATTTTTTTTTTAGTTTTTCTAGTTGATAACTTGTTTGACTTGAAACAATTTATATAACTGACTTGTATATCTTTCATAATATTATGCAATAGAAAGTACAATAAATGATAAATATATATAAATATTATATAAATTAAATATTTATATAAATTTATCTAAATATTTAATGAATTTCAAATATATATGATGAAAGTTAAATTTTTGTTAATATTCTATATGGAATAAGATTATCTAAAGAAATTTTTTATACAAATATTATTTTAAACTTGTTATTATTTCATCTATAAGTAGCTATATTCGATCTTTTATTATCAATATATAACATTAATATTATTAAGTATTTACAGAATTTCGGTTTTGAAAAACATTTTCAAAAATCTGTAACTGCTTAATAAATACATATTATATAAACAGGACTTCTGTTAAAACATTATATATACAAGAATGAATTTTAAAACATTATCTATATGAATTTGTAATAATATTATGTACTAATATTTATGTAAAATTAATTGCTAAGTTTTTCGATATGTCTTTCTAATTACAGATACCAAAACAATGTAATAATTTCTAAATTAAATTTAATAATATATATCATTGGATATATATATGAATATTTGAAAATGCTTCATTTACTTCTTTATATAGTAAATTTGTTATGGAAATATATGAAACCATTAGAATAATCTTTTAAAGTTTAAAGAAGGAAGAGAGCATTTTCATATCTTTGTATATTTATCTTACAAGATATTAATTTCTCACTCTCAACATTTTACTTTTATAACATATTAACTATTAACAAGAATTTTACATACATATTGCTACACATACGTGTATAGGTGAGCATGTATAAGTTTTTCTATGGAAAATTTAATACTATCCAGCTATTAGCTGTGAACACTTGGGCAGTTAAAATTTTTGTTGTATAATTGTCATTTTCACAACGATTACATGTAAAAAATAAAATTGAATTAATAGTAAATAAAAAACAATGACTTATTATTATCTATAAAAATATTATAGATATAACTTAAGCATATTATTATATTATATATAGTGAAAGACATAAATAAAATATCAGTGAAAGACATAAATTTGTTCATGTGTAAAAACATATACATATTTTAATGAACGAATACAAATTTGAGGAAACATATAAGATGAAACATATAAATCTTAATCAAAAAATTTAAATATATTAATTAATTCCGTTTTTAAAATATACTTTTAAAATTTTAATCTTAAAAACAAGATATTATATAGCATGAATTCTAATTTTTTCTTATTGTGAAATATTATTTGATTCACCGAGCCATATTTACATAAATATATTTGTAATTCTTCTCTGATATTATATGACAAAGCTAATATAATTTTATATACTGCTGTTTCTTTTTTTTTTTAAGCTTCTCCCTCTCTTTCATAACATATTTTAATAATAATATTATTTAAACAAATTAATTTTTTTTAATAGCAAAACAAAAAAACTTTAAATTTAATTATATTCAATGTTCTATCTTAATCAGCATAATCTATATAAATTAAATATATTTATCATTTGAGAAACTTGAATGATTTTGGAATGTATATTTTTTCAAATATTTCTTTTGAATTTATTTAATTTATTGAACAGTATATGATTTACATATTTTTACGAGCAATTTATTTCAAAGAAATTATAGATTCTTTTTCTTTTTATTTTTTTTAGAATCTCTTAATATATATATACTGAATGAATTTTTTAATTTCATCTTATATGCTAACAATAAACTTGTATATGTATATAGAAGGTGTTATATTAACATATTTGTGGAATATCTTTGAAAAGTAAGTTTTAGAAACAAAAACAAACACAAAAATAGATATACAAAAATGTTGGCTTATTTATTAAGTTATAATTATAATAATTTAAGTTTGCATTAGATGAAGTGAGACGGGAAAAGGATACAATATTTCTACAACTGCTTCACTCTACATTTCGTTATATTTAATACAAATTTAAATTATTTATAATAATTAATCATTCTACTGTTTATGATAAATAAATTATAAAATTTTGAAATTTTATTATTATATCAATTTTTGTATTTGTTTTGGTTAAAATTGATCCTCAAAAGATATTCTACAATACTAACATCTTATATATACACACACACACACATATATATATATATATATATGTATATAAATTAGTCGATGAGATATGTCATCAAAAATACTTTTCAGATTTTTAATGATATAGAATTTTTTTTTAAAGAAATTGTACTTATCGAAATCTGCACATATTTACACAACAAAAGCGCATATAATATTACTTTTTTACATTGCAAATAATTATCAGTCATATTAGAGCAATTACAGGCCTACATATGATTTGTAGAGTAGCACCGCTGCTCTATAAGCGTAACTTCTTTTAAAGTTTAGAATTGTTTATGTCTAAATTCAAACCGCATTAAATTCGATAATTAAATAGTTAAACTATTTTCGTCGGAACGAAGAACAAATATTATGGGACATAATTTTACAAATTTTTTGCTGAATCTAAAATGGAAGATCCAACATTTTCTTCTATTCGTTATAAATGATTCTATTATTAATTTGATTATTTAAATTTATTATGCTATATTTAAAAATTAAAAAGCGGACCTATATCCGCCATTTCGGTATCTTCCATATTATTTGAGCCTACAACGTGATGCCTAGAAATTAAAAAATAATTTTTCAAGTATAGAAGCACATATTTTTGATAATTAATAATTATGATTGAATTTATGTATAAAATACTTGTGCTTTTCGAAATAATAAATGAAATATTAAATTTAAAAATACCTATGTTGGTGAAAATGAGATGTTGTACGAATGTGGCCATCAGGTGATCTTGATGACAAACTGTGAAGACTTCCTGTACTTAAGAAACCTTTGCGTGGACTTCTAGCATTTACGATCCTTGGTTGCGCACACATTTCCTCCAAAACACTAGGTGCTACATATGTAAAACCCTACAAATATTTTGTTATATTATTTTAATATTGAATCAAATAATAATTATTACATTAATTTTAATAATTTTATTTTAAAAATTAATTCGAATATATTTTTATTATCTATTTGTAACTTACTTGAAAAATCATATTAGCAGATTCACTTAAAGTACTTTCAACTGGTGAATCAACTGGTACAGTTGCTGTGAATTGTTCATCAAATTGCGATGTATCATCGGCACTTTTCTATAAATATTAAAAAATTTATGTATTTATTATCGCAATGCGTTTTAGTTAAATTAATACTTACTAATGATGGTTTAAAAGGAGGCTCTAATTTTCGCGATATTACATCTTGCCAATTAATATGTTCAAAAAAATTATGATTCATAATCTGTTCAGCATCTTCGGGTCCAGATCCCAATCTTTGTGATACTTGTCTCTGTAATTAATATGTAAAACACACATATTAAGTATTATCAAATATACAATAATTATTATATTTAATATAAAATAATTATGCAATAACTAAACAAAATTATTATTTTATAAAAAGAAAATGAAAAGATACTTTTAATAATTTTCGTATTAAGTCTCTTGCATCTGGTGTTAAATATAACGGAAGATTTAACTTTCCGCGTAAAATCTTCTCGATTGTTTTTCTTCTATCATCTCCTGTAAATGGTGGCTATAGGAATAGTATATGTATGTATAATCATGTTATTTGATTTAATTTTATATTTTAAAAATATTTTGCAGTATTTATTTTACATACCATTCCAGTAAGCATATCAAACATTAGAGCACCTAAACTCCACCAATCAACTGCTTTCCCATGTCCACTTCTTGTTAAAATTTCTGGTGCCCTAAATGATAATAATAGTTATAATATATACATTTTTAGCCAAATTATTTAAGTTCATAATTTATTTTTAATTAATTTAACAATAAGATTTTTATTAATATAATAAGAATATTTTACTTACATATACTCTATGGTTCCACAAAATGTATGTGTTACTGTACCTTCTTCTATATGTTCTTTACAAAGACCAAAATCTGTTAATTTAACATGACCTTCGCCATCTAATAAAATATTTTCTGGCTTTAAATCCCTATAAAAATAATCAATCCAGTTATATGCTATAATAAAATTATAAATAATATTAATGATTAAAAATACCTGTATATAATACCCTGATTATGAAGATGTTGCAATGCGAGTATAATCTCAGATAAATAAAAACTATAAATATAAAATACAAAGATATAATAATTTAGTTATACTTAAATTATTAATATATATAAAATTTATATAAAATATAATATAATATAAATAAATTATCATTTATCATCATTTAAATTAATAAAATAAATTGACAAATTAATTTACCAAGCAGTATCTTCTAAGAAAATGCCTTCTCTATCTAAATATGTGAAGAGTTCTCCTCCACATAGATATTCCAAAATTAAATATAATTTACCACCAGTTTGAAATGCATACATTAAATTTACAATAAATGGATGCTGAAAAAAAAAGATAAATAAGGATTTTATAAATAGCTAAATAAATAAATAAATATCTTATAAAGAAATTTATTTACTTTTACTGCTTCTAAAATATTCCTTTCTGCTTTTGTATGAGCTGTGTCCTTTTGATTTCTTATGATAGATGCTTTACGTAATACCTATGCAAATAAAAAAACTATAAAGCTTTTTACATACATATATAAATAGAAATATTTACCTTCATTGCAAAAATACTGCCTTTATCTTTTCCAGTTACTTTTTTTACTTGAAAAACTTTTCCATATCCACCTTCTCCAAGGATTTTACATAATTCAAAATCTTGCGGACCAGTTTTCTCTTGTCCTGCATTGACATTTTGTTCTGATAACTGTACTCTTTCTAAATTATCAGATCTATAAAAAATAAAATTTTTTAGTTTTCCTTTAAAAAAAAGATAAAAAGACAATAATCAAACACACATATATATATAAATATATAAATATGTAAATATGTAACAATTAAATATTTTTATTATTATTAATATTTATATTTATTTATATATATTATATATATAATTATAATATAATAATATATTTTTAACAATATTCAATAGATAATATTATGCATTTTGAAAAATTTATTCTACTTACTCTAATATTGTATTTATATTTGTAGTACGATTATATTCTTCCTAAAAAAAAATGAAACATATTATAAACCTGTTACAATAATTTAAAATTAATAAAATTTAACAAAACACAAACTTCTCTATTTTCAACGATATCATCATCCGACTCGTCTTGATTTATAGAGTCTCCGTCATGTAATTCTATGTCAAATACTCCAGCCATTCTTCTTACAACGTAATCACATTTAAAAGTTTTTTTCGTCAATAACTTTAATTGATCTTAATATGTTCGAATAACATAGATATCTACGTATGTGCGTAAATGCGGTAGTATATTATACTTCCCTTTATTTGCGTGTTCCACACTGATTTTGTGATAGATTAAATTACCTATAAACGTAAATTACAAAATCTATATAAAAGTATGTGTAATATTACGAAGATTATTTACTATTTTGTTCCTTTTTTCACTTTCTTATCTTATGACAAAATAATTAAAAAGGAATATCAGAAATTTTGAAAAAGAAACATGAAACGATTCAAGTACTCCAGACACAAACTATGTTCCAACGTGAATGCCAACTCTAATCTAGCATAAAATATATAATAAATATATAGAAACATTTAAAAGTTTTATTCTATTTGAAAATAGAAACAAGAAATACACATTTCTTATTAATTTGATAAATGTGAAATAAGTTGACTCTACTTTGTATAAAGTTACAAATAGTTTTCTTAATGATAAACTATATTCTAATATAATCTTTATAAATCAGTCTTCAATCCAATTTAAAATTCTAAAATTTTATTAAGATCAAATTAGAAAAAAGAAGTATTAAGATCAAATAAAAAATTTATATTTAATTTATATCTTGCAATAAATTTGCAAGATAAATTGTTTAGTTTTTAAATATACAATTATAAATATATATAAAATATATTACAATGTTTTAATATATTTTAAAATGCATAAAAAATGGAAAAGAAAATGATTACGCCATCTACGATATGATCAAAATTAGAGAATACAAAAACATTGAATTATTCTCTCTTGGATATTAAATTATGGTTAGGTTGCAGAGAGGAGCATCTAAATACTTACATAATTTAGAGCAACAATAGCGTCACTTTTACACATATACTTGACATGCTTGATATCATATAAAAAATAACGTAAGTTTACAATTTATAGATATTTCAAATAAAATTTTATTAAATTTTATGTAATTATATCAAATAGAAAAGAAAAAAATAATTAAAATTTTAATTATTTAATGTTTTGTACAATATAATGATATCTATTTACGATATTATATTGAGTTGATTACAATCAATCTTTGTATGCATTTGCTATTTGCTATTATTCATATTATATGACTGAAATATTTCACATTTTTGTCGATTATTCAAACTAATTAATTATTTAAACTAATTAACAATTGTAAGTAAATTGAAATAATAAAGACATACTTGTTTCAATGAAACATGTAAAATTTTATAAAATATAATATTGTAAAATTTTAACGAAACTATCAACAATTATAACAATATCTATAAATATAATGTAAATTCATATAGTTATACTTTAGTTATGATATATTATTAAAAATATTTTTTTTAATATATCCATCAATAGAAACATTCATTTAAATAATTTATAGTTTATAGGTTATGTGATACATTATTGAAATATATATTTGATAATAGAAATGTTTATTTAAGTAATATTTTATATGAATATTTATATGAATATATATTTATTAAATTAAAATAAAAAAGATAAGAAAAGTATAAATTTAATTAATCGATGAATACTTTTATTTAAATTCATAATTATATATATATATATATATATATATTTAAATAATCCTTCATTATTTTAATATATGCATAATATTTTATATTAAATTTATATAAAAGTTATAAATATTAAAATATGATATAATGTTTTATTATAGTTTTATTCTACTTATTTAATTTGAAAAAATGTCAATTCCACCATATTTATTGGGTCCTAATCCTTGGGCCACTATGATGGCTCAACAACAAGCTCATGCTCAGTTAGCTGCAGCTCAAGCTCATGCTCAAGCTGCCGCACATGCACAAGCTGCACATCATGCTCATATGCAAGCAATAGCAGGACCACCATTACCACAAATGCCTAAACAACCAGAAGTTTTATCAGAAGATAAACTTCAAGAAAAAGGTATTTAAAAAATTAATATTTTCTAAACTTTTGAAAGGAAGATTAAATATAAGTTAATATGATGATTGTGTAATAAAAATTTGAAATTGTTATTAATTTAAAGATTTTTTAGTTATGATAGAGTTTTTTAGTTAAAATTTAAAGATTTATATATACATTATATATATATAATATCATTATATATATATTAATGTATATAATTGTATGTATGTATAAAATTTATTATTATTTATATTAATATTATTTGAAATATTTATATAATTTTAGCTCAAAAATGGCAACAGCTTCAGTCAAAAAGATTTGCCGAAAAAAGGAAGTTTGGTTTTGTGGATGCTCAAAAAGAAGATATGCCTCCTGAACATATAAGAAAAATTATTAGAGATCATGGAGACATGAGTAGTCGCAAATATAGACATGACAAACGAGTTTATTTGGGGTTAGTAAATATGTGTATCAAAAATTAAATATTATTAGTATATTAATGTATAAATATAATGTGTAGTAATATTTAATAAATAATATTAATAAATAATATTAATAAATTAATATTAATGTTTTTATAAAAAAATAATTTCTTGATTTTATTTTAGAGCATTAAAATATATGCCTCATGCAGTTATGAAACTTCTAGAAAATATGCCAATGCCCTGGGAACAAATTCGAGATGTAAAGGTTCTTTATCATATTACAGGTGCAATTACATTTGTAAATGAAATTCCTTGGGTTATAGAACCTGTATATATTGCACAATGGGGGTAAGTTATAAAAGAATAAAATTTTATTTATTCCATTATTTAATAATAATAAATAAATATATTCATAAATATATTCTGAAGTCATAATATATTCAAAAAAGAATCATAATATGATTTTAAAAATACTTTGTATATAATATATATAATATCTACATTTCATTTGTTTATTTTTTTTTATTATTATTTTTTATTATATAGTACAATGTGGATTATGATGCGAAGAGAGAAACGGGATCGTAGACATTTTAAAAGAATGAGATTTCCACCATTTGATGATGAAGAACCTCCATTGGATTATGCGGATAATGTTTTGGATGTAGAACCCTTGGAAGCTATTCAAATTGAATTGGATTCAGAAGAAGATGAATCCGTTGCATCATGGTTTTATGAACATAAACCACTTGTTGGTACAAAGTAAATATTGATTGAATTTTAAGAATTAAGAATATTTTTTATTTCATTTATTTATATTAATCATTTAAAATGATAAAATTTGAAAATATATATATTTTTTATATTATGATGAATCGCGTAGGGGTCCTGAAATCAACTAATATGTGAGTTGATGGCTATAGTAATTTGACAGTCTTATTCGAGATGAGTACTACAAGTTACTATTAGCTAGATAAAACGCTATACTGAATTGATAATTTATATTTTATAATGTTAACATTATTTACCAAAATTATATAAATTAATTATTAATGATATTACAGGCATGTAAATGGATCTACTTATCGAAGGTGGAATTTGACTTTACCACAGATGGCGACTTTATATCGTTTGGCTAATCAATTATTAACGGATTTAGTTGATCAAAATTTCTTTTATCTTTTTGATCCAAAATCATTTTTTACTGCAAAAGCATTAAATATGGCTATACCGGGTGGTCCAAAATTTGAACCATTAGTGAAGGATTCAAATGCAGCCGATGAAGATTGGAATGAATTTAACGATATCAATAAAATTATTATTAGACAGCCTATAAGAACAGAATATCGTATTGCATTTCCTTACTTATATAATAATATGCCACATTTTGTGCATTTATCTTGGTGAGTAATATAAAATTGTTCAATAAAATAAATATTCCCACACGAGTTTTAAGATTCATTTATTGTTAGCTTATTAAAGTCTTACTAGCAGTGTGGTAAAGTAATAAAGGGTGATTGTTATTCGTATCCTTTGTACAGTATAAAAGGCAACTGCTGAAATCACCTACAATATTTAATGAATGCTTATGTATAATTTTTTAATATAATTTAGAATGAAATTAATAGAATTACAATAATGAAATTTTTAAATTATATTTACAGGTACCATGCTCCAAATGTTGTCTATATAAAAACCGAAGATCCTGATTTACCTGCGTTTTATTTTGATCCTTTAATTAATCCTATTTCTCATAGAAATTCACTAAAGGTATGTATTTAAATATATTGAATTAGAATAATTGATATAAGCTATTATACTTTTAAAATGCATAAATTTTATATATTTTTTAGACAGTGGAACCACAAATTGAGGATGATGAGGATTTTGTGCTTCCTGAAGAAGTACAACCTTTTCTTCAAGAAACGCCGTTATATACTGATAATACAGCGAATGGAATAGCTTTATTATGGGCACCAAGACCATTTAATACTCGTTCCGGCAGAACAAGACGAGCCATTGATATTCCTTTAGTGAAATCTTGGTATAGAGAACATTGTCCACCAGGACAACCCGTTAAAGTTCGAGTTAGTTATCAAAAACTATTGAAATACTTTGTGTTGAATGCATTAAAACACAGACATCCTAAACCACAAAAGAAACGTTACTTGTTTCGATCTTTCAAGTCAACTAAATTTTTTCAAACTACTACAATAGATTGGGTTGAAGCTGGTCTACAAGTCTGTAGACAGGGATATAATATGTTGAATTTACTCATTCATAGAAAAAATTTAAATTATCTTCATTTGGATTATAATTTTAATTTGAAACCGGTTAAAACTCTCACGACGAAAGAAAGAAAGAAATCTAGATTTGGAAATGGTAGGTGCTAAAAAAATATATACTATATTCATTTTATTAGTAATGGTATAAAATTATTAAGAAAATTTTATTTTTTCAGCTTTTCATTTATGTCGTGAGATTCTACGTTTAACGAAATTGATCATAGATTCTCATGTACAATATCGTTTGAATAATGTTGATGCATTTCAACTTGCCGATGGATTGCAATATATTTTTGCGCATGTTGGTCAATTAACTGGAATGTATCGATATAAATATAAGTTAATGCGACAAATTAGAATGTGTAAAGATTTAAAACATTTAATTTATTATCGTTTTAATACGGTAAGAATACACGGTTGTTATTAATATTATTTAATATTATTACTATCATTATATTACATTACTATCATCATATGTTATTAATATCATTTAAATATTATAATAAATTATTATGTTAATTATAAATATTATAATTATTTTTATGATGGATATATAAATGGATAGGGCCCTGTTGGAAAAGGTCCTGGTTGTGGATTTTGGGCACCAGGCTGGAGAGTATGGCTTTTTTTTATGAGAGGAATTACACCATTATTAGAAAGATGGTTAGGAAATTTGTTATCCAGGCAATTCGAAGGTCGTCATTCAAAAGGAGTTGCAAAAACTGTAACAAAACAAAGAGTAGAATCGCATTTCGATCTTGAATTAAGAGCATCAGTAATGCACGATATTGTAGATATGATGCCAGAAGGAATTAAACAGAATAAAGCTCGTACAATACTTCAACATCTTAGTGAAGCATGGAGGTGTTGGAAGGCTAATATTCCGTGGAAGGTTTATTTATTATAATTTAATTTTTAATTTTTTTACTTATTAATAATATAAATTTTCCGTTTGTATTAGTTTTTTGACCAACACTTTCTCTAGGTTCCTGGATTACCAATACCTATCGAAAATATGATTCTTCGTTATGTTAAAATGAAAGCAGATTGGTGGACCAATACTGCACATTATAATCGAGAACGTATTAGACGTGGAGCAACTGTAGATAAAACTGTGTGCAAAAAAAATTTGGGTCGTCTTACGCGACTCTATCTTAAAGCCGAGCAAGAACGACAACATAATTATTTGAAGGTACAATGAAAATAAATTAAAAATAAATA